AGTACGACTCCTACCAAAATACCATAGTTTAAATCTTAAACTATCAACCTCCATAGCCTTCTCTCCAACCCATTTAGTTTCCTAAATGCAAAGAATATTTATCTTGCTATGAATCATAATATCTATTAACTCAATTAATTTGCCTGTAAGGGAATCTATATTTCAAGTTCATATCTTAATTTTAATTTTATTGACTACTTCTTTGCCCACATCCATCCATGTTGTAGGAACTCTTGCCTATTTAACACTACACCCAGGCACCAGTGCAACGGCCCTTGCTAACTTGTCATTATATTAAGGTCATAGAATGTGTGGCTTCTAGGGAATGCTCTAGCATTAACACAATATATTAAAGGATTCGTGTCATAATAATTTAACAAATTTTACGCTAGTTGTTGACCGCCTAACAAATTTAACACTACACTCAGGCACCAGTGCAGCGGCCCTTGCTAACTTGTTGAATAATGTACATTAAGGAATTCATCATTTTTATTGTCAGATGATTTCTCCTCATTGTATGCACTTGATTGTACATACTCCATTTATGTATACATCCAGATGAAGAGCACATTAATCTCAAAATCTTAATAGCAAAATATTTTAGTTATGGAGTGTCATCATCAAATTGTATCCACCACTCAACTGAGGTTTAAACAAATGAGTATAATAAGTCAAATGAATCATTTTGATATAAAATTTTTATCCAACATTAATGAAACAAATCAAATTACTAGAAGATCGCTTGGAAACAATCTTTTATCTGTTGCACTCGAAAAACTCTTTATTCTTGAAAGGTACCAATTATATCACTATTTACCAATTACAGCACTATTTTCTCTCTTAAATGAATTAGCTATAGGTTTATCCATGCGATGGTACAATCAAAATTTTATCTCAAGATATCTTGACCAGATTTTTGTATATTAAAACTAAGGGTTAAGATAATAACTTATTACATATAAGTGCCGATAAAGCTAAAACTCCCACCTTTCATCAATAATATCTCAAATTTCTCCACAGCAACCATCTTTTTAAGTTCTTGACAATTATCTCATTTGCTTCATCCATAAAATTACAAATGAAATTAATAACAGGCTTCTTCTCAAGCTCTCAGCAAATATAATCATTAGAACCTGCACTAATGGCCTAGTGGTGTTAATAGCATATATCACACTCTATCAAAAACTGTCATTTAAAGCAATCTTTCAAACTTTTTCCCCTCAAATTTTCTTACTCACACACAACTCAATCATTGTATTCAGGTAACATAGCCTCCAAAACTTATGTAATTCTTTTTTTTTTCTCATAAGTGTCAAAACACAAGAATGATTATATATAAATTTACTTTTTTTTTAGCTTTTATTAATGCATTCATATGTTGTAGCAACTCCCAAAATTTTTCAAAGATTAGATTTATACAATGTGCGATGCAGGGAGTCCAATATAAGGGTTCCTCTTTTTCCTAAGTTTTGCTCCAGCAACCCTATAAACACTGGCATTATCTGTTACCACTTAAACCATCAAGTACTACCCAATCTCTCAATAATATGAACAAGAATTCCAAAAAGACACGGCATTTTTTACGTGTTCAGGTGCATCAATGGATCTCAAGAACAATAGGTCATAAAATTTAATGATTAATGCTATCAAGGTTCTATTCATTATATATAATGATCCACCATACATGATAGTAACTCCTGTTTGGCTTTAAGTCCTCTTAATTTTCTCAATGCTTTTCTTAGTGTTTACCAACTCCTTCAAAACACATGTCCTCAACTCATATATAAATGGAGGTTTCAACCCTTGACCATTGATTCCAACTGAACGGATAATGATGTAGTAAGGGGCGGTTGCAATATTAAACAAGATAGCATTCTCATAAAAAAAACAATATTCCTACATCTGTACATACCCGTATCTGTCTCCCTAACATTCTCTGGGATCAACTTCTGTTATGCATAAGAATAAACTACACACTTTACATATTTCCCTAATACAAACTAACAACTGAATTTAGCTCCGTCAAAACTACACAATTTATATATATATATATATATAATTATTTTTAACAAAGTTCACTAATATGTAGTAACTCATGTCTAGCTCTATGATGCAACCAAAAGCTCCCAAAACAAGTAGGATACCCTTGGTCACAAAAAAGAAACAAAAATTTTCCATATAACTTGAAATAAAAGGACAAACAACATTTTAAACACTTTTAAACATAACATCACATTACAAACTTAAATAAGACATGAAAATATCTAAAGGAGCTTTTCCTGATCGAGAAGAAAGATACAAGTGGCGTCAAACTGGCAGAGACGAAAGAGATAAGAAGCTGATACGAAAGAGAGGACAAGCTCGCAAGCTTTCCCAAGAAGTAGAAGAAGAATAAGTGGAACAAGGTCGCAAGCTTTTCCAAGAAAACCTGCCAAAAATCAAACCATATTATTATCTTTTATCCAAAATTCTCTTTTATCCAAAAAACATAACATATATATAGCTGAAAAATGGCAGCCAAACAACCCCTAAAACACCTCCATCCTAACCAATCAAAACAAGGAAAACAGAAGGCCAAAGGGCTGCCAAGAACAGCAGCCGAAGGGGCCACCACAGGGAACCGGATAAGGCAGCCAAGGGGGGGGGGAAGAACCAGCCACGAGAAGAGCCAGACAAGGGAAAACCAAAGGGTCACAGAGAAGGGAAAAGAAGGGGAATAAACCTGAATTTATTCATTAATCAACGCATTAATGAGCTAGAACATGCAGCCCCCAAAAACACAACAAAAACTGAGTAGCCAAGCCCAAACCGAGAAGCACCAGCATCTCATTAAAAAAAAAAAATCTTCCTATATCTATGCGTACCCGTATATGTGTCTCCCTAACATTCTCTATGGTCAACTTCTGTGATGCATAAGAATAAACTACACACTTTACATATTCACTAATACAAACTATCAACTGAACTTAGCTACGTAAACACTACACAATTTAAATACAGAAATTAAAAAATATATATTTTTGTTTACATAGTTCACTAATACAAACTATCAAATAAAATTCAAATTCATAAAAATTAAAGACATTATTTGTCACTTATAGCCCAACTTATAGAAATGGGAAATGTCATTTTCACTTGCAAACTACATTAGGGTAAAAAAAAAAAGATTTTAAGGGTTTCCAAAAAAAATAGGGTTTCAAAAGAAATTGAAAAAAATGAAAAATAAATTGAGTTAGGGTTTTTAAATCAAGTTTACCAAAGGATATGAGGATTACAAATAAAAAACTAGGGTAAAAATTGTTAGTAATAATATTTATAAAAGAATGAAGAATACTTGAGGAGGAAAGTTATTTGATTGAGGAGGAGATGGCGAAGCCGTGCATCTCGCGATGATCCTAGAGCTGATTATGGCGATGGAAGTCAGGTGGAGGGTTGGAATCGCAAGCTGGAGATCGGGTACGTGCATGCATGAAAGGTTTGGCGAGGTGGGGCTAGGTATTTAGGTTTTAACTTTAAAGTATAAAAGGAAGTATGTATGTATGTGTGTGTATATATATATATAAGAGAGAGAAATGTACGCCTCGAATTGAATGCTCGAGGCGTGTGCCTTGAGGTGTTTCGCATGTGAATTACGCTGAGGCACACCTATTATGCAATTTTAAATGGTGAAAATATGAAATACTTCATGAAAATTTTCATGAGTTTTGAAGGTAGAGAAAGAATGAAAATTTATAGACTTCTCTCCTCATCTTTTTTATGTGAACAATTTATATAAATATCTTTCATATTTTTCTTCTCTAAAAAATATAATAAATACAAGAAAGAGAGGAAGACAATAAATGACATGGTAAAAACAAGCCATTGAATTTTTTGTAGTGTAAAACATAATGTGCTACGAAGCTACTCAATATCTGAATCCGTACATGATAAGATACGGTCAAAATGTTATTGACTAATGTCAAGCTAAAACATAGCACTTGTTCAAAATGAAGTTAAGTTGCAGTTACAACTTAAAAAATGCACCAAGGCTCAAACAGTGAGCATTTTTGGCTCTTAAGGTTCAAACTCACAACCTTTTATCAACTCAAGCTAAAGGAATTGACCATAATAAGTCTAAAATTCCAGGGCTGAGGCTGCAATTTATACATTTATTTGGTCCAAACAATTCAAATAACATAATTTTGCTTTGTACATTTAATGGCAGCATTCATATCCATCTTTAAGCTTTATTTGGAATGCAGTTCTCATTGCTCTAGTATCAGATTGAATTCAAGATTAAATTCAGTTTATAGAGCATAAAAATTGTAATTTCAGTTGAACAAAAATCCAATGCATTGGATATTCAGCTCTGAATAAATCAAATTGAACTGACTAAACAAAAAATGGTTGGTTACCTTTCCATTATAAATTCAGGTCAGTCAGTTTGATCGCTAATATTTCAGAACCAAAAGTGAACGGTTCCACAAGGCCTATGAATTAAACTGACTAGACTAATCAAATGTACACCCCCTACTTAGCAGCAAAATTAATAACTGTCTAGGCATCAAGGGTGTTGCCTATATGAGACCACAAAACTATTTATTCAAGGGTGTTGCCTATATGAGACATAAGAAGCAATTACTAGATGATTTAAAATAGAAAACAATGACCAGGAAAAACTGTTGTTGAGCATACTGGGATGCATTTTGTGCTGGAAGAATTGAAACAAGCAAAGAAATAAAAAATATTGGACACAAAAAATGAGGCTTTGGATAATTTCATCAAACCAATTAGTTATAAAGTCGAGTTAGTAAGGTTCTGAAAAATGAGAAAAACAGGATATATGAGAAAAACACTTGGATTTCGTTTGGGAAAACTTTTTACTGTTTCTTAAAACAGCTTTCTAGTTAAAAAATTAAAATTTTTTTAATAGAAAGCTGTTTTAAGAAGCGATAAAAAAGCTATCACAAACAAAACCTTAAGCACGTGAATGCCCAAGAGTTAGAAGAGCAAGGATGAACCTAGTTCGAAAAAAGTTTGACATGGACTCTGCCTCTATTGTTGCGGATGATATTATTAAACGTAGCTCAGGTCTACGTCGTTGTACCTGTTGCATTGATCAAATTAAATGAGCACAGGACTAAACAAGGTAAAAAGTCATTAGTGATGCAATAAAATAACAATTCAACCCCGTATTTGAATGCTCATACCTTCTTCAAAAGGCCTAGTAGCATGTCAGTGGAGATAGATCTTTCATGAGCCTCATCTACCATTATGACACTGTTGGAGACGGCCCATGCAAAGAAAACATGGAAGAATACTAAAATTAGAAAAATACAAATAAAATACTAAAAAGAAAATAGTACAACCATAAATAATCCTGAGCATTTTTGCGAAGCTCTAAATGCTGACAAAAAAAACTGCATAGCAAAACTAAGTGTGAGCACTTTTGTGAAGTTCTTACAACAACAACAACAACATCAAATCTTTATCCTACTACGTGAGGTCGGCTACATGAATCCTTTTTCTCCATTGTGTCCTATTAAAGGTCAAATTCTCATTTAAATCTAATAAAGAAAGGTCATTCCTAATATTTTCTAACCAAATCTTTTTAGGTCTGCCTCTACCTTTCTTAACATAAGTCAAATCTAATACCTCTACTCTCCTAACTGGGTCATTGGAAGGCCGCGGTTTTATGTGACCAAACCATCTAAGGCGACTCTCTCTAATCTTATCTTCTACTGGAGCTACTCCAACCTTTTCACGTATATGCTCATTTCGTATCCTACTCCAACCTTAAGTTCTTAGTGCTGAAAAAAAAAACTGCATAGGAAAACGTTCATAAATAATACATCAACATCATCATCAAGTTTTATCTCACTACATGATATTAAGTATATGAATCATTTTTCTCCATTCTGTTTAAGAGTCAGATTGTCATTTACATCAAATAAAAAAATTGATGGTGATTTATAAAGTGAAAAGTTCATAAATACAAAATAACATACATTGATGGTGATAAACCTGGAATATGCAAAGTGCTGCTTTCTTTATGAGACAAAAATTTAGCCAAAAATTAAGTTGTAAAAGGGAGGTCATTGCATGGAACCTTTATTAAAAATGTTCGCAAACAGCAATGCTGATTTGTGCTTGACCAAGATTTCTAGAAGCTTTAGTAGTCGTCTTTGTGAACAATACTTATTTGGAAATGCTCTGAGTGCAACAAAAAGCAACACAGGCTTCCAACCACAAATAATTAAAATGAAATTATACAACTTCAAATGTTAAAAACAAAGAGGTAAAAAATGCATTTTAACTGGTATCAGCACCTGTACTTGGTCAGTAGTGGGTCGTCCATCATTTCTCTTAGCAAAACCCCATCAGTAAGAAACTTAATCTTGGTTACACCCTGCACATACAAGGACATCAACAGTAGGAAAAAGTTAATAAAAGAAAACAAAGTGAAAAGTAAAACAATGGATTTTATCATTCGGCTTCAATGTACAAGATTATCTGTATTATGTTTAGAAGCCTCTCATTTTCCAGCAGTCCCAAACCATTTGAAAAATGTCGATGCAAAAAACAATCAGAACCAGATTGGAGGCTGCACCTGAACAGTTTTATCTTCAAAACGGATTGTATATCCAACCTCTTCTCCAATTTTAACACCCATCTCTTCTGCTACTCGTGAAGCAACTGACTAAAATATATGAAATAAAAATAAGGACTACATCTGTAATTTATGAAAGGAAAAGTATTGAGCTCTATTAAGATAAACAAAAATTAATTTACAATGTCACCCCCAGCATATGGTCCTGAAAGTTGAAAGTTACTGGTAAAAATGCATTCATCAAGAAGGTTATGACATCAAAGTATGTTTAATAGAGGAACCACATGTTGACCTTCGCATGAAAGCCATAATACATGCAAGAAATCTGGCTAAAATCCCGGAATCCCGCTTACCTGTGCATTCAGTACCGTTTGCATCTCCACCAGAAAATCTTGCTCAAATCCCACGATAGCCCGCTCTGCTTTCGTTGTTAAAAGGAAATCGAACGATATATCGTTCATTTCTTATTCCCGAACATTTCTTCGACACCTCCAGCCGCACTTTTCCCTCTATGATCCGAAGCCCTACCCTGTCGCACAATCAGAACCAGATTGGAGGCTGCCCATAAGTAACCTCAATGATGGTCGTATTGATAAAAAATCTCAATAGGATAAGACTCCAAATATTCAAAATGTCTCCCAAATTTCCATAAATACATTCAATTAACTTTAATGTATTCATGAACAATGACAATTTATTTAAAGCTGAAATAAAACACTCAAAATACTTAAAGAATAATACTCATCAACCCTCCGCAACAGTTTGCTAAGTTGAACAAATCTGAAAATCACTTCGGCTCACAAAGAGCAAATGTCTGGTCGAGAATATCACTAGGATTTATTCTCAATCTGTCTCTTGCCAGAAAGGATGTAGCATGTGTCCTCTAACCGATAGTTTAGCCGTCAAATGGCACTACAGATAAAAGGTTATGACTGGGACCCTCTAACCAGGTGGTTTTGCTGCCAAATAGCACTATTAAATTACGATCATGGTTAAAGCCCATATGTTCCCTAACGATCAAATCATTAAGCAATGAATCAATTGGATATAATCGATAGGGCACAAAGCCCTCTATTAGCTAAGGTGGATTCACATTTATCCCATTAGACAAACATTCACCACAAGTCTACAAAGTACCATTGGACGAAGCAACTCATGGTTGCTGACAAGGATCATTCAGTTAGGTTAGGTCGACTACCTCATCTGACTAAGTAGAACAAGGATCATGATGACTTGGGACGACGGAACCATGGGATCTTGATTGGGTCTATCATCACTCCCCCACCATCCGCTTTAAGTGCAAGGTTGTAAATTTCTAATATTAAATATTAAATTTTTAAATACCAAATCATGTTACTACTATGTGTCAGATACTACGTATTTGTTTGACGATTAGCCTTAATCAAAAGTTCTCTCTCATTATCAGGAGACGTAATTAACTATAGGGGCTTAGGTGTAAAACCTGAAAACTGTCGATCGGATGCGTCGCACACATTTCGATGCGCCGCAATGAATTTTGGCAAAATTTCAAAGTCGTCGGAATTTAATGCAATAAATTTTATTAAATTCTATGTGAAATTTTGATCGAAACGGTATAAAGAACGTATACTGAATTTCGTACGGTTTGAAAATTAAAAATCGCCGAAGATGTTTAAGTAATTTTTAACTCTTTCTACCCATTTTACCCTTCATGAGCTTGTAGGAAAGAAATTTGGAGGGGGGCACATGCGTCATTTGTCTACCCAACACCTTAAGACTCTAAGGGACCGAAATAATCGACCCCTTGTTCATTTGTTCGGCCAAGCACGGGAGAGCACGGGTGGAAGCGAGGGAGAGGGCGTTGGCTTCTCCGGAATCCGGCAGCGATTTTCCGGCAAGGTCTTGGAAGAAAATCAAAGGGAAGACTTAAGGAAGAAGAAAGGTGAGTTTCTCATGAAAGAAACTTCTCTCTTTCTTAAGATTTTTTGGAGAAACAAAATTAGGGTTTTGCTTTTTGTTGGGATTTTCTTAGAAGAATGATAGGGCTTGCTTAGGAGCATATTTCTAAGTCATAAACAAGAATTTTCTTAAGAAAAAACTATGGATTAAAAAGGCGCTTGAGGCAGACGCTTTGAGGCGAATCGAGGCGGAGGTCGGGCGAACTGAGGCTTAAGCCTCAAACGTTCGGGGGAGGCTTATGCCTTTTTTCAACAGAGGCGTACGCCTCAAGGCGTGAGGCACTTAGGCGCATCGAGGCAGGGCCTCGAAAGAGAGAAAGTTACCTTCACAGCCAACGAGCTAGTGATCTCCCGTTGTTTCTTCCGATCAAAATGTCGTAACTTACGATTCGACATGAAGGGAAAGTCGTCGAAGGAGCGAAGTCGAACAGCCACGAAGGAGCCAAAGAAGTGACGCGTGTAATCTCTACACCTGCTGCGAAGCAACGAAGCCGAACAACAAGGACGAAAAGAGAAGATGAGAGGCAAACCCTACCCGCAGCTAAGTTATTATTGATTAACTTAGTTAATATAATTTAAAATATTAATAATTAAGCAAATTAATTAAATAATTAATAGCATAATTTGTGCTTAATTTAATTATCTAATTTAACTAAATTAACTAATTAGTAATATAATTATTAATTAAATATTAATATAATTAGCCTAATTAATATAAATTAAATGTAAATTACATATTATGAAAAGATTTTTCTTTTCAAATAAATATCAACGATATTTTTTTGAAGTTCATAATTGACTTAATATTTTGTAATTTTTATCATTATTTATAATTTTACATTAGCTTATTTTTATTATTTTGAGGCTTACGCCTCGATCCGCCTCGACTTGCTTAGACAAAACGCCTCAATTCCTGATTTCGCCTTTTAAAACATTGGGAAAAACTTTAGTTTTCAAATTAGGGTTTCTCCAATTTGAATTATTTTTTAAGGGGAATGTTAAAAGAATATAGGGGAAAGAGTTTATATAGGATTTTCTAAAGATTTTTAGGTTTTCCAAATTAGGGTTTTTCCTAATTTTGTAAATTTAAGCTTGCATGTTAACTAATTTTATTCCTAAGGGTCATGGGATGTCTCTAACTAAGAGAAATTGGAATTCTTTATAAAAAAAATATTTTTTACTAATTTTTATATGAATTAATCTAAAAATTTAATACCCAAAACTTGTAATTAGGAAAGAGGGATGTTTAAATATGCAAATTGAATGATATTAGTGAAGCATTAGGTTTCCCAAAATTTGATTTTAGGTAAAACCAAAACTTACATTTAAAATTATCTTAATTAAGGAAGGGATATGTTAAAATACATTAGATTATGGATTAATAATAAAGTGATTATCAATTAGGATTAATTTATGATATATTTTAATTAAGATCTATGTTAGGTAAAGTTTAAATTAGATTTAAGACGTGTAGGGTGTAGAGTAGGATCTATGTTTAGGTAAAGTTTACATTAGATTTAAGACATGAGTAGGGTGTAGAGTTATAGAGATAGACTTGATGTGTAATGGTATAAGATGCTTATATTGTTATGTTGAAAATTTTCCTTTAGGTCTTGAAAAGGTGAAGAGTTAAGGAGAGACCGAGGAGATGACGATTGCAAGAAAATGACATTTGAGGTAGGAACACCTTACTTTACAAATTCATGTTCCTTTAAATTGTTTGTTTTGAAATATCTCATTAGTTGATGCATATTAAATGCATATGAAATGTCTTTATTATTTAATAGAAGTGTATATTAAATGTTTCTATGAATCAATGCATATATGATGTTCTCAAGCACATTAAAGCTCTCATTATTAGTTAGTAAGCAATACATAGAAGTCTCTTTCATGTAAACTTGCTTCACACTCAAGGCCATAGTTTAAAATTGTGCAATAAGAGGCGCGCCTCTGCGCAATTCGGACCAAAGATGCCTCATAGCCTACGCAATTATGGTGTTTGCAGAGGCGTACGCCTCAAGCTATGTGAGGCACGCCTCAATTGTGCAATTGCGCAATTTATGGTGAGGCGTACGCCTCATAGAAGGGTCCCACTTACTTAACATTAAAATGATTTTTGTTTCTCCCCTTCTACCGATCCAAGAAATCCCGCAAGCTCCCGAACCCTCCTTCAGTCCCGATCCCGCAAGCTCCCGAAGCCAGCATTTCCCGCAGGCCCGCACGTCTCCGCCGCCTCTCCCACTGGCGCCGCCGCTCACCTATGAGTTCCTTATTTTCGGCCGCCCCTCTACATCCCTTCTTCAAGAGTTTTTTAAGTTTTTTAAGTTTTTTAAGTTTAGGGTATTATTTTTCAACTTATAGGAAAGCTAGAGTTTTAAATTTTTTTTTAGTTTTATTATTTTATTTTGCTTTTTTCTTTTAGGAAAGATAGTTAAGGGCAAGAAAAAGTGTAATACGTCATTGCGGAGAAATCCTTCTTGGAAATATAGTGTACAAGTTGACATAGACGGCGGTGAGAAGACTTATGTGTATTTGAAATGCAATTTTTGTGAAAAAGTGGTGGAGGGCGGAGTTACCCGCACAAAGGAATACTTATCATGCTCGCATAAAAACGTAGCACCGTGTGCAAATGTGCCGGACAAGGTGAATGATGAAATTATTTCTTACATGAAGAAAAGTACCACGACAAAACACTTACAACATGAGCAATTTGATGAAATGGTCGAACATGGTGCTTACTTCGGGAGCGAGAGTGGAAAGGCTCTTCCTCCACTATACATAATAGAGGTGCACGGGGTCCTATGGATTAATATATGACTAATCCAGGAGATAATAGAGGACAAGCACAGATGATGGCTGCGGCTGGTACTAGAGAGGGTCGAAACCAGATTTGCATGGGTATTGGAAGATTTTTTTTAGAATGTCATACCATTTAATGTTGCAACATCACCTGCCTACTTCAATATGCTGCTGTCTATAGGATTGTATGGGAGAGGGTTGAAGACACCATTCATGTACGAGTTGCGAACATGGATTTTGAAGGAGCTGCAGAACACAGAGCATAGCATTGATGAGATTAAACGGACATGGACTGAAACTGGCATTACCATTATGTCAGATGGATGGTCTGACATGAAGAGCAGGAGCTTGATT